ATAATTTAATCATTATTTATATTAATTTATTCTATAGATGCATATATGAGCTCGCTGCGAATCTTTTCGTTCAAAATGATGGTCGATCATCAAAACAAACAAACAATCTAGATTCGTTAGAATCGTACGACGGTGAATCTTATGAAAATATAATTTCAAATGTACTTAAAATCACATCTTTATATAATAACGCCTCATCGGTAGGTAGCTTTTGCATCTTAATATATTTATTTTTCTAAAAATTTAAAAAATATTATTTATTAAAGTATTAAAAATATCTTTCAGACATACCGTAATTTTCCACTTACCGATAATTATCCATCAAACTATCCAAAAGCACCTAACGAGTCTTTCGGCGACTTTGACGGACTTGGAGTGAATATTTTCAATGCTCTATTGTCGATCTATCGCTATGACGATCTGAAGTGCGTGCCCAGAATACTTTGCGAAGTGGCGAGTGGAAATCCCCCTGGAGGGTACAGGATGGCGTCAACGGGAGGCAACTGGCAGGAATTAGGAACAAATCTTTTAAAGCAGTGCGTATTCTCTTCAAATATCTATCATATATAAATAACGCCCCGATAAACATTAGAACATTCTATGTACGTCCTATGTATATACATATATGGATATTGTACATTCTATGTATATACAGAGAATGTGAAAAGTATATACATCGCATTCTATGTATGTGAAATATTTACCATATGTATATACATAGGATGTCCATAGTACATACATAGATATATTCCAAAAGAATGCAGAATGTGCAATACACATTCGTGGCATGTACATGAGGTATATTCTATGTATATTTACGCTGTGATCTCGTTTGAATATACACGTCATGTACATATATCCAAACGATTCTACGAATATCCCTAAATACACGTAAATTTATGTATATTCTATGTATGTACATAGTATATACAGTATGTTTTTTCACATTATGAATATTCCATGTATATACATAGGATATCGAATATGTTTACTGGGGTATTTATCGTATTTCAAGTGCGATTCTTAATTTAAGTCATTATGCTATTACTAACGTTATATTATATTTTCAGCTGGATTGCCATTACGATATTTGATACTCCGATTGTAACTTTCATCCGAGCTGCCTTGATGGGCTACAACAATGGAAATCCGTCTACATGTTACCGCGAGTTTCCAAGATGTCCGCGTAATCCCGACAAACTGGTGCATTACCTGAACAATCACAACGGCGGATTCTTCCGATTTTTCAGCCAAGGCGCACACGGGAGTTATCCTCAATTGTCTTACGCTTCGCGAGGTAGATTTGTCGCGGACGACGCGCATGAATTTAAGATTTGTATAGATTAAATTGCTCACTCTTCTCAGGTAATTCGGAAATTCTCGGAGAAAGGAAACTGAAAGCCCCGCCGCCGGGCATTGCCCGAGCGGAGGCTGATCGTACTGGAACGGGCGAGCTGAAGTTTGATGTTCCCATTTCGACTGCTCACCAAGAGCACGGAAGAAGCTTCTTTCCGGAGGAAAATACATTGAAGAGCTCGGGGCAAGTGGTGTTTCCGGATCACGACGGATCCGATGATCACCCATCGGAAAACAGGATCTCTAAATCCCTGTCGGACTGCAAATCCCTTACAGGACTCCAACGTAAATGTACTTCTACGAGACTCTCCGCCGTTTTTCCCTAAGGTAATACTTGGATTATTAATCTGATTCATTATTTATTATGATTTATATTACGATTATAATATAACATATGAAAGAGTTTGTGTCATTTTAAGCGATATCATAGTATAGTAGTGATTGAATTTATAACAACAGCTACAAATATACTTTGAGACGAAAGTCTCAAGTTTAAATCACGCGATGAATCCTACATCTATAAGTACTATAACGATAAATTTATAAATTTAATAATTTTGCACTATGTATGAGAGTACATTTTTGTGAAATATTTTTTAGGAACTAGGAGACCAAGATAAATATCTCGCAGAATAATTTGGTTAATGATCGAGCTTTTGTTTCCACTTCTTAAAAAATCCGTGTTATATCGATTCTCGCAAGTATTGTTGACTCTTTTCCGCAATGCTGGTTATCTCGATGCTCTGTACTGTGCGCGCAGGAATGTCCGTATCACATATGCAACAAGATAATAAATATATAAATATGGGACAAATAAATAAATATGGGACTTCACAGGTGATTTGGAAATCTATTGTGATATGGACATTCCTGAGACTGAGTATCGCGCACCTTAGTTATGCGCGTTGTTAGCGCATTTGGCGACTCGTTGTTAGCATGCGAGCGGCAAGGAGGGGGCAGGAGGCGTTAATCAGAAAATCGAGTCGAAAGTTGCAACCAATTCCCATCTCTGTAGTAATTAATAAGTTTTCAAGGAATGTTTAGAGTCACTAACAACAAATTAACTGAGGATTTTAGATAAGAAACTATTTGTTAATTAAATAAAATTGATGTAGTGTTAAAAAAAGACTAATTTAGTTTTTTTTACTACTGTTTAATACAATATATATATATATTAGCTGATATTTATAAATTAACAAATATCTATTTTTTAAATATTGTGATTACAAATTACATTTTTATTGCCTTTTAAAACCGCCTGAGATTCGGCAGCCCGAATGGCTCATAATTGAACGCGTTCACATAAACGAGGGGACGAGCTATTTATTCTTCTTTTTTCTTTATGTACTCTTGTGTCTGTTCAACATTACATAGTAATGCAATATTTTTATCCACATTACACGACGTGCGCAGTCAGCAGAATATTAGAAATTGTAGACTCAGCTGAAAAATTCAATTCTGATGTCGATAGACAAACACTAACCACACACACATTTTACGTGCCAAAGTATATTCTATCCTCGCTGATGCAAGGAGTTCTCTATTCACTTTGCCTTATCTTTACATAATAAAAGATTTTATTTACATTCCTTCTGGCAAATGTGGATAACGTTAAAATTAATGTTAATGTACAATATTATAATAGACATAGATTCATCAAATTTTCGCTATTATAACTTCTGTTCTTTCACATTGTAAAAAAAAATTGTTACTTTGTTTTTATTTTGTGCAATTTTATAATAGAAATAATTACGCATTCAATACTTCCTTATATAAAAAAGTTAATATTGTAACAATTATATAGGAATAATGCGAACGATTGCCAAAATTATACATTATTTTTGGCGTCCACCTACGAAGAGCTGTCTTCAGGAAATACACTTGTCGGAAGACTCTGCTCTAGCTGACATACAATTATTCTTGAGCGTAATAATTTTCGATTATTATTGTGAATTTTGCCAAAGCATAAACCAATAACGTACGATCAACTCAAGTCTGTAACTTTCAGCTGCTTAGCAATTTTAGCCACGTAAAATCGATGCTTGCTCGACAGGTGATCGTACACGCCTCCCGAAAGTCTTCCCATTCATTTGGAGTTTTGTTCTCTTGACTCGCGTTTCTTTTTCTCACGTTCTACGTGATGATAGCAACACCTTGCATTTCTCATGTGTGCTCGCGTGCATAAAAAAGTGCAGGCGTTGCTCGACCCTCAGAGTCTTGAAGTATGAAATATATATGTCTCGAAAATATATATAGTCATCGCCAAATTACAGTATTTTTAATGGTCATCATATGGAAATACAAGACTGGTGGTAATATTTTAATTTCTCGATATTCGCAAAGAGAGAAGAGAGAGAAAAGTTCCTGAAAAATTTAGATGAAATAATTACTTATTGTTGAGTATTAAAATAGTAGCACAAAAATGTTTTTTATGAATTTTTTTTAAAAAAGTAAATCCCAAAAAGATATGCTTTTTGTAAAAAAATTCGTCATAAAAATGAATGAAATATTAAGCTACGACAGTTTGCCGTATTTTTATTGTTGGTGTAAAACGTTTGACACGCGGAGTCGCAGCTGTGCAATTCACGTATGATTTTCTTCAAATACTGGCTCACTACTCGGTGACATTGTAGAAATAGAACGCGCAACGTCGAAAAAGCCGCAGACAACGTGTAATTATTTTATCCTTTCTGGCGTGTAATTTGGGGCGTGCAACACGCTTGTGAACTCGCTGACTCGATGCAGGGGAGACGTGAAAATAGTGCGGTGGCGTCCACGGCGATGCCGTAGCCTGGAGGGGCGTGTGCCTCGGACAGGGCCAAGTGGGGTGCAACTGACAGCGGAAGACAATTAGCCTTCTGATACATCCAATGTCGCGTGATACGCTCCGCGATATATGTAGGAACTTTACAAAGATTCGTTTCACGCATCGCAACGCGTGGAGCAAAGTATAGGGCGCAGTGCGCGGCAGAAACCGTTGATTTATAATCCGTTGTGTAAGATATAATATTTGCTACAATTACAATCCAGCCGATATAATTATAATTGAGAATCAAATACGTTCCGTTGTATTTTGATGTTTTGAAAAATTTAATTTTCACAACATTTTAATGGAACTTATTTATATATAAGAATAAATTTATTTTTATAAATCGAAATTTATGATACTGTAATTAAATTTAGCTTGCTAAATTGAAAAGGATAGAATCGAGTGACGCATTATAACAAAAATGGGTAGCAGATAATGAGCTTAGCGCCGCGCGAAGATGCGACGGGGATGCGATCCTCGTGATGATGCGTCGTCTATGCCATAATCTCGCTCTATTAGCGCGGTATTATTTTCCGTGGTCGACATCAAAGAGGATTTCCCGCGAGCCCATTGTATCGCGGCGATAATTCCTCGTTATTAGCTGCGTCGCCGGAGCGTTGGTCTCGTGTCGGCTTACCACACCCCAAGTGCCGAAACAAATCCTCCCGAATTGGTGGTGCCGATGCAAAGGAGCTCCTACGACGCATAACGCAATCGTCCCGACAAAGGATCCGGCCGGGGAGACGGTGATCATGGTGGCTAATCCCCGTGAAAAATGCGTTGCAGGTGGACGAATCCACCATCGAGGACGCCCAGGTGAGGCCGCGCGGAGGGGAGAGACTGAGTTTTTCCGACGCAAAGGGTGGATTAACGCGATATCCTCGGTGATCTCCGAACAAGCGACTCGGCAAGTGAAATTTGCGAGGGTGTACTGAATTCGAGATAAATGCCGTCGTTTCGATGATTAATTCAACAAAGTGATTCGATAGAAGAACGGAAGAAAAGAAACGTTTACGCGAGTTTCCACGGATAAAAATTTGGAAATAAATTTTTCCAAGCAATATATCAGCTGTTTACAGTTTGCGTGCTTAACATGAAAAAGTCTGCCGTTCACGCAAGATATATAGCGAAGCACAATCAAAATCCATTAAATCAAACCCTACTAAGCAGCTTTAACGGCTCGCGATCTAATCAGGCAGCAGTAGCAAGTTGGTCCCGAAAATAAGACATAAATTCTCGAACGCACCCACCCGCGCGACCATAAAACACCGCCCCGCGATCTTATTTAGCCGTATATTTTTCCCCACGAGCGGTTCACAATGCCTCAATATCTTACCGTCGCAATATACCACGGGCTATCCTTTTCTTCTCGATGGACTTTTCAATTCGGGGCATTCGGATCTTTGTCACCAGGACCGAGGACGCCAATTCGCCCGCACAAAAGGACCGCGGTGGTAGATCTCGTTGAAAACTGACTCCCCGTCCGTTCTTCCCTCCGGCCGCTTGATGGACAGAATAATTCGGTGAGAATGAAAATGCATGTCCTTCGGCGGTGCCTCTCTCCGCGCCGGGTCCTGCGCCGGGGTACTCGAAAGCCCGTGAAATCTTGGCGCGCTGGTCAAACCGCCGGATAAGTGGGTATCTGCCGGTACAAAGGAAAAGATACCCTCCACCTTGCTATCACCGTCCACCAGATTTCCTTCATCCCTTGCGGTGCCAATTGTTGACGGGACGAACGGTAATAAATACACGCGCGGGATTATGTTAATCTATTTCGTGAAAAAAGAACATTTTTACAATAAATCGGGAAATAATGAAAAAATTCTGATCGCGATTGAAACCTTTCGACTTGAAACGTTTATTTGGTATTCAATTTAGGTGATGAATTTCTTTTAAAAGATTTTTCGTCGCGACGTCCATCAGAAGATTATGAAACGCTAACCCTCCGCGCGGCGCACAAAACCACCCACGGTTTCTGCCGCCGGTGCGGCGCTCCTCCCCCGTCTTTAAAAAAGACCACTTTACTCGGCAGATCGGTTTTCAAATCGTTCATAAATAATGAATCGGGCTGCGGGTTGCATCGCGCAACGTCAGTCAGGCACGCTGATTGCAGCATTGAGGACACGTGTCGCGGATCAATCGTCCGACGCGTGTCAGTATTTTCGTATCATCGCCGAAGGGTGCCTGCGCCGCTCGTCTCTCTTTCTCTCTCCGCCTGTCTCGCTTTCTCTCCGCCACCTTTTATCCCGTCAATTCCCTTCCTGCTCCTTCATGCGGTTCCTTCCTTCTTCTTTTATGTCGTCGCCCCTGCTGCCTCGAGTTTGCACGCAAAGCCAAACGAGTGTCGCGGGGAAAGCCAAACGACGTGATGCGGGATCGGTTTTTTCTTTTTGCTCTCTCTTTCCTTTTTAAAGCGACCAGACGACGCTTTAATGCGGCCGGGATTATGCGGCTGGACCGAAGCTCCGGATTTCGCTCGAGATCGTCGCGGATAAGAGACGTGCAAACAGAGGTCTAAGAACGTCCCTTGGCTCGTCACGTCGATCGCTTGTCAGCTGCCGGGATTTGCTGGTTTTTTAATTAAAAGCGCCAGCGCGTAGCTTAGAGACTGCGGCGGCTGCGGATGCACGGTCAACATCGTAAAGTAAAGCGCGGCGCGAAAGTTAGGTATACAAATCTCAAGATTAAAGTTTTCTTTATTTTTATATATGCATATATATATATATAGCGGCATACACGTGAGAAACAGATGATAAATCTCTTTTTTCGGAGCAATGCATCATCACGTCTCGCAGAATTAATAGTCCCCGAACCAACCACGCCCAGTCCTTAATATTACATATGCGAAAATCGGCCAGTAGATTTCCAATGAAATCTGCTCGTGCGGCGCAGCATCATAACTCCTTCGCAAAACGAATTATCGCGACGTGCCGCGCGAGGCGAACGAGGAACGCAACAGCGGCTGATACCTTCCAGGAAGAAGTTAGGTGCGCTGGAACCTTGAAGATAGACAGTGAATAAGAAAGAGAGAGAGAGACAGAGAGGGGGGGGAGAGGAGGAGGAGGAGGAGGAGGAGGAGGAAAGGTAGAGACGATGAGTGAAAGATGCAGCTCTGGCTAACGCGAATAATACTTCGTAAGTGGCGGTTCGCAGCCTCGGGGGCTGGTAATCTTCATAGAACATCGTCTTCGAGACGTTTTAGGCTCAGCTCGATTAGATGCTCGTTCCGCTTCGCTGGGCTAATTTGTCTTCGAGGACGTTATGTCGGCCACGCTCTCGGGCTTCGCACAGCGCGAGCCTCGCGA